ATGCACGGATTGGTATATATTTTTAGATTTATTTTGGTTATAACAATGCAAATACCTAAAATCAAAACCAAATTCCCAAAATATTACGATATTGTGTATTTTTTATGATTTTCAAAAATTCGATTTTTTTAAAATTTTGTTTTTGTCTTTTTTTTTGCCTTTTTTTTTTTTTTTTTTTTTTTGTTTCTTTTCCCTTAAATATCTATACAACTTCTAATCACTTTTTAAGACATAATTTCCCATCGTATCAGTTCAATGAATTGCAGACTAGTTACCCACGAAACTACGCCCCAAGGAAGGAGTAAAGACAATCTGTGAATCGATGAATTTAATGCTTCTACGTTAGTTAAGATTTAGTAAGTCAAATCATCTTGGAGGGAGGACAAATAAGGTCATATACATGTAGGTTTTATATTTAGAGGGTCTGACTAGGGTTTCCATTGTGGAATACTTCGCATTGAAATAAATAGTATTTACCCTTTTAAATAAACATTTTCTGGCTCTAATTCATAACGAACTTCATATGCATGTACTTAGAAATCTTATGGTATTTTGCATTGTGTTTTAAAGTAGAAACACGTTCCATAATGCATCGTTCTTCTATGAGTGATTTACTGTAAAGCTTTTACAATTGGATGTGAATTATTTTTTAGCCTCTTTGGTGGTGAGAAATTTCCGCATATATAAGTACATAGCTAAATATTCCTAGTATATGCATTATTAATATAAACATTCAGAAATGCTTCAAATTAAATCTATGCTTATTTGTTAGAAAATCAATTTCCGCCAAATATACATTTACAGTACCTCATAGTAAATCCGACCTTTGTACATCAAAATGTTGGTACAACAGAGAGTCCAGTGTTATGCTCTACTCTTTATTGTATCTGACAATATTAAAGCAAATTACATACACACGCACATGCACACATACATCAACAGTCTCGTTAAAGTCATCATTTTGCAAGTTCTTTGGTCGATACAATGACTTTGTCAACAAATACAATCTATCATTAAATCAAATGCTGACTGACGTTTTTCATACTAATTGTTAGGCCATTATTTACACACTGAATTGTCTACTGATTTTACCGTTTTTCCCGACCATGACAAGAAGCACATGGCAAATGTGACCGGTCGGCAGAGGATGCTCACTCCTCCATGGCACCTGATCCCACCTCTGATGTTTTAGACGTCCATGCTTGCTCTGCTCCTGATTTGTATTGTTTGAATAGACTTTTGAGCTTGAATACTGTTCGTTATTTCTATATTTCATTTAAATCAATGTATATAAAAAATGCAAAAATGACTAATGACATTACAATCAATGGAAATTAATTACACTTTAGTCACACCGTAAATAATTGGTTCATTCTTGCATTGACTGAGACACAATCAGTTTTGGCCCAAGGAAAAATAAAGTGTTTGTTAACTTGCAGATTTTATGTTGGGACATTCACATCTATAAATTGTTCTTATTTTTTGCATTTTTCTGAAAAAAAGAATATAGTGTGAGCTCTCAAAATAAAACCCAAATAAAGAAACATTATGTAAAAACAGGCCTGGAATAATTTCTTTCTTCCGGAAATCCACTACAAAGTATGCAGGTTCCCATTATGCCCCCAAAAAGTTCTTGTTTGTTTTTTTTTTTATTTTTTATTATTTCTATTATATCATATTCTGAGTGTTCTTTAACATCTCAGACGGTATATAAATGATGTAATTTGTGCTTTAAAATTTGTAAGTGTTATTATATAAGAAATCCAAAAATATAGTAGCAATTTTTGTGGATAGAAAATAAGAATTGTCGTGTTAAGTTAAAAAGGTTTGAAAGTAGACACTTTATAATAATCTTTCTTTTTTTCTTGCTTCAAGATGCAGGTATTGGATATACCAGTAACATATACATATATCAATGTTAGAACATTTTTCTGTACCTCCCTCTCCTTGTTATATTAACTGTCTGATCGGTCATTCATTTGTAGAGAACACTCACTGAACAGGTACGGGCAGTGCCAGCTTTTCCTAGCGTCCAAGGACATCCACTTAAACATTGGCCATGGCTAGAACACTTGCCTTATTTTTTCTCCCAGCTTTTGTTTGCAATGTTGCAAACTTTGCATGTAAGTATCCAGGTTCTGAATAACTTATCGAGACATCATTATCATCTAGCAAAAATCTAAGAAAAAGAAAGCATTTTCTTTTTTTCAAGTCGTTTTGCTTCTTACATGTACAAAGCAATATGTCATGATGATCAATAATTTCTAAAAATTGAATTCAGAGTTCTGAATTTAAAAAAAAAATGATTACACGTACAGTGTATAACTTGAAAATTATTATACACAAAGAATTCTCTTAATCCTCTTTTTCTGATACTTTTCCTACAGATGGTGATCTGGTAAGTTTATATTTATCATTTTTAATGTTTATCAAAAGGCATCAGATGTTTTCCATGTAAAACAAATCTTCCTCTAATTTGACACGGTTGTTTATCAAGCTTTAAGGAAGTTTTAGTGATTTAGTTTGTTATTCAATTTATGCAAACAAGTAATGAAAACTTTAAAATTTGTGACCACACTTATTTTGATAAAATGGCGCGTGCTTTATCTTTAACATTTAGATTTGTACAATTATTTCTACCTTTGCACTTTTTCAAAGAATCGCATTGCTCCCGCCATTTTCCCTGCAAAATATGTGCTGATAAATCCCGGGTCATTAGTAGGAGGGCATGACCAATCTTTTTACAACAATTTGGATAGAGCAATACCTTACTCCGGGAAATCAAAGGAAAATCATGGAGAAATTCAGGGGCGGATCAAAGGAGGGGTATTTAGGGAGAAATACTGGTCAAAGAAAATGTCTGGAAACTTCCACAAAAAGTTGGAGGGAAATATGGTCACTGGGAAATATACAGGAAGGAAGGACCTATATAAGGGCACGGTCTTTGGAAGGTCAAATGGGCAATATTATGCCGGGGTATACAAGGGATATTACAAAGTAAGGTACTTCCGAGGAGCTTTAAAACCAAAGGGAATCATGAAAGATGTCTTACACAAAATAAGCAATCCAGAATGCAGATATGGAAGCATGCCAAGGATGCCGAAGAGAAGGATATACCATGTGACTTATGGACACAGATTGATACCATTCAAACAGAAAGCCTTATACAACAGTACACCCGGAGTTTCAAGTAAAGAAAAATATCTATTCACGAAAAATTATATTAGAAAACTTAATAAAGGAGGAAACAAGTACAAACATATAATAATGCCGCTGAAACAGAGAAACGTATACAAGAAAACACCTATGATTTTAAGTAAAGAAAGATATCTAGCTATGAAACGGTTACTGAATAACCTAAACAAACACAATACAATGAGACTCGCCAACCTAAGGAAATTGAAAAGCAGGAGGAATCTCAGTACTTACAGAAACATATTTGGAAAGCCAGTGGGTATGTTTAAACCACAACAAGGCGTTGGAAATATCATTTACCAAATAAGATCACCAAAGTACCGATATGAAAGAATTCCTGAGGTACTGAGAAATAAGATTTTAGATCATAAGAGGTATAAACAATCAAAGATACCGTTCAAACGACCACAAATAAATAAAAAGGCATCTGGAGGAACCAGCAAAGCAAGATATATCGCAATGAAGCGATTCCTAAAGAGGATAAAAGATAAAAGGAGGTTATCCAATTCTCCGAAAAGGAAAACCTTGAAAAAGCAACATTTACATCAAACTATGTCCAGAAAGAGGTTTATAAAAAGATTTTGGAAGAAACTGAAAAGGTCTAGAAATGAGAGAAAGAAGACAACTCATACACGTAAAAATCGAAAAACTGGGAGAAGGAGGAAATTGCATTTATATAAGCATGTGCCTATAACCCCATACAGGAATATGGTGAAAAGGAGATTTATGACAGCACGGGCTAGATCACATTATGGTGGCAAGAAAACAACATCTGGGAAGGTTTACAAGGGGAGACACAAGACTCATGGAGGGAAGGATTACAAGAATATTTTACGTCATAATCATAAAATAAAACTGATCCTTTTATAAATATTAAATTATGAGAAATAAAATTGATAGAGAAATTTTTCTTTTATTGTTGTATTTTATATGCTTATTGTAACACAGTATGAACAATACATTAGGGAAGTTAGATTGATAGATTTGTTGTTTAACATCCCATTCAAGAATTTTTCACTTATATAGAGATGTCACTGTATACCGGTGAAGGGCTTCAAATTTAGACCTATACTCGGCACTAAGGGCCATTGAGCATTTCTATCGTGCCATCGCCTACCATGACCCGTGACTTTCACTTCTAATACCGGGCGCTTGACGAAGGAACAGTCACTACCTATGTTTACAGTGTATGTGTTAGGTTTGACGCGGTGCAGAGAACGAGAATTGAACCCGGGTTTCCCGATCACGAAGGGAGCGCCCTGCCACTAGGCTACCGTGACCGGTTATTAGGGAAGTTAGTGCATTTCTGATGTTATCAAAACATTTTTAGATCTACAGAAACATTGAGCTATGATTTTATTTTATTACTGTAACGAATACTATTCTTTCAGAAATACCTGTGTATTTTCATCGCTATTACGTAAAATTAAAATTTCCTGATTCGATTTGTTTTCTTTTGTCATAAACAAGATGCAATGTAGAATTTATTTTCCCTGCATTATGAATCTTTTTATTTATGCCATGTCTTAGAGAATAAAAAATGCGATTGTGTTAAAGCCAGAGATTTTCCTGTACTTAGACTACGAATCGTCGCTTGCAAAAGTTGATGCAGGAAACTATCTCTCTCTTCTTCTTCTTCTCTCTCTCTCTTTGATACTAAATACAAAAAAAATCGAATTTCTGTCTTCAATGTTACATCTCTACCAATACATACCAAAGTACATGTATATCAGGATATTTCTGCGTTCAAGCATTTTTACATAGTTTTTTATTTAATCGGGAGAAAATCAAAAAAAAAGTTTAGACTCATTGTATAAAATTTTATTTTAAAACTTTTAATTCAAAACGACATCATGGAATGCGTCGTTGAAGAAACTGCGCATGCAAACAGCTGTACATCAGGAAGTTTAACAATTTGGTAAAACAACATCTGCAAAGTTTCTTTTTTATCATTTCAAATTCAAGTTTCAAAGAAAAGAACATCACCTTTACTGTTTTTGGATGTTTTTAATAAGTAATTTGAAATTTCACTGTCTTTATCCATAGGAATACTTAACAATCCCACTGTAGCGACTTTTATCAGTAAAATTCGATTTTAATGAGTTTTGATAACAGAACAGATTAATTGCAAATACCATTAAGCATAAAAATGATCAATCGAATTACATTGTAATCACTTGTAAAATCTAGCAGGAAGAATCAACATTCAATGGCACTAAATGATCCTTAGCTATGTTAATTTTTACACAACCATCGACCAATCGGGGAGTGAATAAGACGTCGTCTAATACTGAACATTTCATCGAGTTCGAGTCGAACTGCAAGAAATCTTTACAAGGTTTTTTATTCTCGATCACACCTCCTACGATCACAACATTCCCATTGTGTTCAACAACTCCAAAATGAGTTCTCTGAAAATGATCGAAACGTGTAACAAATTTGCAGGAAGCCTTGGAAGTTTCCGTTTCCTCAAAATATTCGATGATACGCCCATCGTAAATGATGAGAATCATTCGATCATTGAAAACACAAGATCTTGTCAACTTACAAGCCATCGGAATTTTAACGGTCAAGAGAACGCTTGTTTTTGTTTTCATATCGTAGCACTGAATGGCGGAGGTATCTGTTCTGGTATTTTCCTCACCACCAAATGTGTATATTTTATCATTTCGGACAATGGCAGCAAAACAGCTCAAAGCGAGGACAAGCTCTCCATCTTGTTCCCAGCGGCGTTCTGAAATAATGAACTTTTCCACACTCTTAAGCATTTGATTTCCCGCCCCTCCATCGCTATCATATCCCCCTAAAACGTAAATCGCGTCGGTTACAGCAACACTGGCATGTCTACGACGGCCGTTTATCAAGGACGGTAACTCCGACCACACGTTCTGAGTGACATTATACCACAGGAAGCTGTTTTGTTTCATTCCTCCACCTGTGATGTAAATATCATTATGATACGTAACTGCAGCAAACTCAATTCCTGGATCGTAAGGAAGGGGAGCTAATTTAAACCACGTTTGCTGGTGGAAACTGTAGCAGTACGTGGACGTTGTTCTCGTATATGGCGGTTTCGTTGCCTCACATCCTCCCAAGACGACTATGACGTTTTCTTGTCGTGACGTTGCACGCAGGCGCATTGCTTTGTTTGCCATTTCGTGTTGTCTCGCCGGAAGGAGATGATAGTACTTTACGTAGTTGATAATTTCTAAACACTCTGGGTTTTCTTTGATTTCTGGCTTTAGTTCTATTTTGACAAGAAATTCAGGCCTCACAAATGCTAATCTCACTTCTTGCAAGAGTTTCACAATATTACCCTTGTTATTATTCTGGGTCAACCAATCAAAAATAATAGCACAAAGGTCCTCTTCAGAAGATATATTCAAATTCTCTTGGCTTATGATTTCCAGAATCTCTTTTTCATCTAATCGGTAAAATTCTTCCGACTTGGAGATTTCTGAAAAGGCGTCAAGAATTTTACGGAAAGCTGTAGCTCTGATAGTATGGCAATTGTGAAGTACTGAAACTTTCCACAAATGAATGCAATTCTCAACATTTACATGCGGCTTAAGGTAGGTCTCGCAAAGCTTTTGCAGCGATTTTATCTGAAGAAAAGCTGATGTATGCAATAGAGTGATTGCAGACTCCACGTCCAGGTCTATTTCTCCAGTATAGATAAAATCCAGAGCCTTCTTGAAAGCAGATGGATTCATGTCTTCAATGTTAACGGTCCCAGTTACACATTCCCGCATCCCAGAGCCAAACATTGAATCAAAATATGAAGACATAGTAGCCAAGACCGTCTTATGGCAATGGAATGTCTCTTTCTGAACTTGTATTGTGACGTCGGTGTGGTCGCCATTAATCCACAATCTTTTCAGTCCGCTAAAAAATGTGTTTACGTAGTCCTCCCTCATGTCGAATTTTCCTGACATCTCAAAGATTCAGTTTTGCAGCCTGGTTTTAAACCTCAAATCTAAAACGGATATTATGAATATTTATGTTTAAATTAAAGTTCCGTATACTCTAAAATGGTTTTTGAGGAGGGGCACTTTTGGAAAGAACTGTATTTGAAAATTACGTCATGGTAAAGACTGCTAAAATGATACATCAATGAAATGCAATTGGACGGAGTAGAATTCTAAAAGGGAAACCATATCGTATTTCAGAGTTTTAACCGATTTTTTTTTAAATTTGATTTTAGATTTTAAGTATAGCTTTTAAATCTTTTTGACATTGCTCTTTTGAGGAAGGAAATACCATTGAAATCAATGTTACAGGTCTTAAACAAAATATTTCATACTAGTTTCGGGAAACGATATGCATTTTACAACGATATGAATATATCATATGAGATGATTCCTAAATAATTTCATATCAGAGGAGAAATAGTCTCGAAAGAAGGTATGAAACGTTTCTTTGTAGAAGTAAAGGTTTCATTTTACAACATTAAGAGTTAGGCATATTTTTATTAGAACTTCTATCATCAATGAAAATAGTCTCAATCCAATCCAGTGACGATGTTTACCTGTTTTTTTTCATACGATGAATAGTTTGTGTGGGTTTTTTTTTCTGTCTCAGAGAAATTTGTGGATTAATAAATGCAAAAATACTGCATGGGGAAACGTTCAAAGCAATTTCATTTTATGACTCAAGTCGTATCATTTTACGTCTTTCTATATAATCTGTCCTTGAAAAAATTGCATAAATATCGTACTTCTTGATTGAAGCAATGTTATTAAAGACACGCATATTAGTTATAGACATATATGAATATTATCTTTTTCCGCCAGATACTGACTTGAAACAGTGCATCCTTTTGACAATTAACGATAAAGTTTTGACTAAGACGAAAGCCTTTACGGTCGCTATTGATTACAAACAGCGTGGAATTTCCTGCAAAATGAGGTAGTAATTAAAGGTAAACACGAATAATATACGGGTGTTGCTATTAATTAAAGAGAACAGCACATTCAACAGAGTACAAACTATATGAAAAAATGAAAATGGTAATGCAAATTATATACATGTACATACTGAATGCATTTAAATTGCTTAATAGTCATCTCTATAGAGCTTGAATAATACATAAATGGTAAATGATAAAGAACGACTTTGATTTCTTAAAAATTTGGTCGTCAGAGACAACTTTTTTCCCCTGGAATTACGGTTTGGGGTGAATATGTGCATTCGTGTGTATTTTCTTTTTCAGAATAGAAATGTTTATGAATTCATAACACGGGTTAAATAGAGGTACTTTGAGCACTGAGCTCACAAAATGATACCCCCGCTCCCATTTAACCAGCTGTTAACTGCAAAGTCCATGTTTTGCTATGGGAAACCCCTAATATGTAAATTAGGAGCTGCAAAATGGTACTATGTTATAAAGATTATTGAAAGTCGAAAGTCTCATCAATTCTTACTCAGTGGTTTACAAGAGGTTGAACAGAAAACAGCAGTGATATGTATTCATCAATATTTTGCTGTCTTTGAAATTTTTCCTGGAGGTAAATGGCAGACACTTTGCTGAAATTTAAATACATGAACTCAATATTTACACCTTTATACTAAAATTTTTTTTCTGTCAAAAAAAAAAAAAAAAAAAAAAAAAAAAAAAAAGTTTTTGGTTAGTGCATGTGTAAAGGGTCCTATTATAATAGTATATTTACATGTTTTCATATATTAAGCCGGTAGATTTCATGTATAGTTCTTAAGAGTTAAAATTCACCATGAATTATTCACAGGATGAAGAAACTTGACCTGCTTACAGATACTTAGATTTAATCGTGTCTTAAGTATTTTCTAGACCTCTTGTTTATAATAATATGATATTTATTAATAAGAATTTAATTTGATTGTAGAATAATTTTGCATAAGACAAGAAAAAGAATTAATAAGAACACCATCATCATTTAAGGAAATCCTTTTTTTAAAGAAACTTAAATAAATTATACATTAAATGATTATTCTTTAGGCTTTTTGTACTATAAATTCTTACTGGTTAGGATACCGTTGTGCACTAATAGAAAAAAGATCAAAGGCGAATCTAGAGGGGGGGGGGGTCTGTACTAGGGTTCGGACCCCCCCCCCCCCAACATTTTCAGAGTTTTTAAACTTCTATGTAAATGTAACGAAAAGGATGACCTTGGACCCCTTAAAGGGAACACGGACTCCTCTTTAAATGGTAGGCAAAGTCATGTATCCGAAGAAAATTTACTTAGGATAGTGTAATTTGCCCCCCCCCCCCCACACACACACACACACACACGAAATAGACTTTCAGGTTTGGGTAAGTTGTTTACGTTGGTCCTTTTTTTTCTTTTTGCTTGTCAAAAAATTTTCTTGTCTGACATTTGTTACAGTTGATGTGAACCCCCCCCCTCCCCCCTCTTGAAAGTATCCTGAATCCAACCCAGATCAATCAAGGCACAAATGAAGATATGGAATTTGAGTTTGCATTGGGGATGAGGTTAACATGGAATAATTTTAAAATACTCACATATATATTAATACTACTATTGCGTTATTGATCAAGAATGTTCTTAATGAAAGCTTTTTAAATGCGAGACTTGAGAAGACAATTTTTAAGCATATTTTATTATCTTGCAGATATAAATTCATGTATCCATGGTGATAGCGACATTAATCTCGCCATGCATTTAAATTTAAAAAAAAAAATTTTTATCTAGTACATTCAAGTCTGAAATCAAGGTAACCAAATCTAGGCGCGTTCTTTAAAATGAAATGTAAATTAGTGATTCTTAAGAAAATATATATTTAGACATTATTTTACATGACTTTGTACAATATCTAAGAATTGATCAAATTTTATCGATGTTATTTTATAACGTAGAACGACCTTTACAGAATAGCACGTTAACAGTGTCCAACAGAACAATTTCAGTGAATCGATTTTTTTTTCATCCTGGCGACATCATTCAATTTTTAATTAGACTAATCCTAAAGAGATACTTTGGTTTTGCTGCATATTCTCCAATTTCGATGTTTGTATTATCGTGTGAACAATAATGCAAGAGTCATATATTTTTGCTCTATTAATTGTTTATTTGAGTGTTATATCAAAAATTGTGAATTTAGTCAATTCCCTTCTCAAAATGAAAATCCATTTTATATTGCAAAATATAATCACAGTGTGACATACGTGCACCGGGGATATGAAATTGAAACACTTACTTTCGCAATACCTATTGCTTTTAACCTTTCTGAAAGAAGATTTAATTTAAAAAAAAAAAAAAGCCAGTAGAAAACTTGATACACCCCAATAATTTTTTAACGTTGCAACTTAGGCGAATTTTGAATATTATGTCAATTTTTCTGAACTGCCTTTCTTTTCTGATTGTTAAAATGCAAATTCTATCTATATAAATTAATTAGTTTTTGTTTACATACAGGATGAATTTATAAAACAAGGATACATCCCTTGGATATTTTTGCAGTATCAAACATGTTCTAACTTTAGTAATAAACACACGTATAGATCGGAGCACCTGTTAAATCTATGACAAGAACCTTTCATAACGAAGTGCTAGACCGGTGGTACCATTTACAATCGACTTTCCTTCTACGCTTATAAATCAACACTTTTGAATACGGATATTTACACATATCACCAAATGCCACATATTGGTATGTACATGTTTAAAAAAAAAATAAGAATGCACCACTTACCCTTCCAAAGAACAGTCCTTACAAAACACAGTCACGATTTGTTTTATGTCAGTCACAAACATTACGGTGCACTAGGTCTACATTGTATATTGAAAACATGACCTTCCAGCAATTATGTTTCAGAGTTCAGTACTCTAAACTGTGTGGGTAATTACAGTCATAAACAGCGTCTTTCTTCCGGTTTTGAAACAAACACCTCAAAGCGAACTTGCTAGTTTCCCTGCATGTAAACGTATGCATTTGATCAATATTTACAGCGACCTAACTAAGGTTTAAACACAATGAGGGCGCGACCACCCGGTACATTTACGTCACGCACTGCACAGACGCGGTATTTGTTCTATATATTTTATATTTAACATATTAAAAGAGTATCTAAGATGCTTTAAGTAGTTACTTTTCCGCATTAGTATGTATTTTTTTATTATATTCAATGTGAATTCTTCCTCGTCCTATGTTCGACATTTATCAGATTACAGCTTTATATTATCTGGTTTATCCTGTCCCTATATATATGCTTTATCATACACTGGACTGATTAACATCATTCCTTACAACATCAAACAATGCAAGCTAGAAGGTTCATAGTTGGATGAGGCAATAACTGTTTCCTTGATCAATCCAACATTTACAGTGTAGGTGAAATAAACCACTTGACAATTATTTGAAGAATAACGTGCATGGTTAATTCATTAAAAAAACAGCTTTTTTTTCCATATGAAAACAAAATGTGTGTGTGAAGCTCTTATACCCCCGTAAGCCACTTTTTTTCAAAAGTAGGTCACCCTGCAAGATCAAGTTCATGCGTTAAAAAGTATTAGAACCAAAATCAAAAATGGAAACCATCCGTTCAAAAGTTATGCCTAAGGTTAAAGTTTTACTAAAGTAGGTCGAACTCCAAGGTCAAGGTCAGAAATATTGCTATCCTAAAGAAGGATTTCTAACAAGGAATACACAAGTGCAATATGAAAGTCCTAGGACCAATCTTTCAAAAGTTTTGGCGAAGTTTGAAGTTTGCGAAAATAGGTCAATCTCCCAGGTCAAAGACATGAGGTCAAAAAATGAAAGGTCCTTTTTCAAGGAATACATGAGTGGAATATGAATGCCCTAGCACCATTCTTTCAAAATTTATAGCCAAGGTTAACGTTACTCAAAGTTAAGACAAACTCCAAGGTCAAGGTCGTGAGGTCAGAAATTGGTACCCAAAGAAAGAATACACATGAGAAATATGAAAGCTGTAGCACCAACCTCTAAAAAATGATAAGCAAGGTTAAAGTTTTTTGCAGACAAACAGATAAACAGACAGACCGACCAAAACTCTATGCCCCTGAAATCTTCAACAATGAGGTGACGTAAGCCGAACCTATTTATATGACACCGCCCACTAAAGGTCACACTAACGATGAACTTATATTACATTTTTAGACACTCACATTTTATTGTGTGAGTCAATATTTTTATTCTCAAAGTCCGAACAATCGCTAGAAGTGTGCGTCTACAAAGAGAAGTCTCATTGTACTATAGTACTTCAGTAGGATATTTAATTTCCTGTTCTTGTCTAAGCACGAATAAAAGTCTGTATCTACATTTTCAGTACTGAATTGTGAAGAAAATAAATGTTCAAGTACTAATACTTAATTTCCTACTCACTGAAAAATGTATGAATCATTTCAGTTTTAATTTACATTATTCAGATACGATTTATGAATTCTAAAATTTTTTTTTTAGTTTCTTATATAAGAAATGATCACTTCTAGTTGTAAAAAAGAAAATATGATGGTTGCCTTATTGCGTATTCAAATGTAAATGTTATTGTAATATACAGAAACTTGTAATCATGCAATTTCATTGTACTACAAAAAATCTTTTTCAGAACATTGTGTATTGCAAGTATTTCTTGATACTCAATGCATATATATATGTATGTATTTAAATGGAAATATATTATCATTCTGGTACATATGTTCAAATATCCTAACCATTGAACAGAACGTCTAGGACAGTACGTTCAATGGCTAGTGATTTACACTCTGAGTCTGTCAGTACTTAAGAAACCCTTAACATTGAACTATGTTAGATCTTGATCTTTTGATATCACATTCGTATGTGAATTTCAAGGACGATTTATAAAAAACTTCCTGAAAAGGATAAATATAGATAAGAACAATTCCTGACACATGGTTTGCTTAGGTTTAAATTCTTGATATCAATGTTTGTTTGGTTTTTTTTTTTTTTCAAAAGTGTGTCATTGAAACTGTTACCATGAGTCAGTATTTTCCTTTTTTCATTTTTCTTCAGAAAAACAACTGAAGCGTAAATTTGAAATTAAGTAAAGGAGAAAGGCCGAAAACTGTCCATTCTGTGAGAGAAAGAACTAATCGAGGGCCGTAGGCCCGAGATTAGTTCTTTCTCTCACAGAATGGACAGTTTGAGGCCTTCCTCCTACTTAAAACATGATTTTCTTTGTTCTGAAAATTAAATAAAAAATGTACAAAATGACAGGTAGCACACATACAATGACAAATTCATTGTTTACAGAATGGACAGTCACAGGTAAGCTAGGGATGCAGAGCAATTTGAATAGGCATTGTGTTTCCAGATGCAAATAACAAAAGGTCTTTGTCTTAAGAATGGACAGTTACAGGTGGATTTTGTGGGATACTAGTATTTATACAAGTATGTGATGCTTCAAAATCAGTTTACAGTTTGCGTTATAGAGGCATACATGTTTTCCTGTGATGGAGAGAGTATATGACAGAATCAAAACCTACTAAACCAAAATATGCACAAAATTAGTGATATTTGGATCTGGAAACAGAAAAGTAAGAGTAAAAGAAACATTAGCCAAATTTTGACCCCAAAATGAAGTTCGACGACAGATACTGATGATCAAATTCAAATCAAACCTGGAAATGTTTTATTTGAATTCTATTTTTGAGGATATATTAACTGCAGCAGTGTAATGGTGAGATGCAAATTGTGTTCAGTGTTGGATTAGCCATGAACCAATCTTCGACCTGAAATGTTTTTCAAATCACATCTGGAAATGTTTCATTTTTATTTATTTTCTACCGAAATATTAACTGCAGCAGTGTAGTGTTCATGGTGCAAACTGTTTTCTGGGTGGAGGATTTAATATTAGACGTACTTCTATCTGAAAATGAATTCTCCTCAAGGGAATGATTTTTCCGAAATTTAAATCAAATGTGAATTTGTGTCAATTGAATTCAAGTTTTTTGAAAATTAAGTTTTGAGTATTGAAATAATGTGCAACATTTGTGGATTTAAAAGAGTAAAATCGAGTGGATGCTGTGCAGACATTGTGTTCTGGATTAACTTTGATCTCCCCGTTCTTTTTGTTATTTAGATGTAAATTAAAAAGTATTTAATGTATTTGTTTTTGTTTCCCTCTTGAACACATTCCAAAGTTTACCTGTAACTCTCCATTCTGTTTGTTTTAACTGTGCATTCTTTTTGAAAAAACTGTCCATTCTTAAAAGAATGGACAGTTTTCCAACAAGAATGGACACTTACAGGTAACTTAATGGATTGTTTGGGGAGTTAGCTCAACAATAAGCTATAGAATGGACAACATGAACAAAAGGTTTACGTCACAATCATGTTTTAACATTGCATATCGATCGTTCACAACGGAAAACTCAGAGCCATACAGACCGTATTCTGTACTTCGTTGTCGAAATAATAAAAAGAATTTTCATAGAATACTACTTTGTTAATTAATTAATTAATTAGATGCTAAATACACATTCATCCTAAATTATTTTATTCTTTCGCTCAGCCCTTTCTACAAATAAACTATTTTGGATGAAACGGAATAGACGCTTAAATGAATTTCTCATCAAAATCATTAATTTGAGAGACGAAGAAAAACTAGTAAGACTTGTTATAAGACAGCAATACCCGCACCTAATTACACGGGTTATGTATTTTTTCTGCAACACCTGCAAACATTAATTCGAAAATACTAACAACCAAAGAAAGCATTTTATTGTTTAAATTATTTTCTTTACCTGCAAACCTTCCCATACAGTTTTTGCTGCATAAGGGATAGATTTAAGAAAGTGAATCCTTTTCCGAATGCTTATAAATTGTTTCTGATTGTAAATATCATGACTCATATTGAAACCGAAAGAAGTCATTTATAACTGCCATTATCAGTAAAAGGAGACATACTCTCACACCTGGGTAGGATTTAGCTTTGAGTAAATCTCCGGAAGCAGAAGAGTTATTTTTGACGATATAAAACATATGAGAAAGCCATAATTTGGAAAGTATGAGAGAGACATATAGAAAATGCTTTCTTTGCAAACTCGTTCCACAACATTTATAACCCATATAGTATCTTTTTCATACGCTATACAGCAGGAGTAATGGTTAAAATATATGAATTAATTTAAAAATGGTTATCATAAGTTGGTCCATGTTTCAGTTTGCCTGACTGTGAATATGATACACTTGCCTTGATTTGCATAAAGAGTGTACTACCAAATACAAAGATGATTACACAAGTATAAAGATTTGACAGCTCAGTCACATCTTTCCATGACTCATGCATTATTTATTGCTCCTCTAGCACCCATACTTTAGTAAAAGGGCATATAAGTAGAAGAAGCCATTTAAAACTTACAGATGTTTGAAATCTGATAAGACGTAGCCTCTCGTCATCCGTACAGACCAAGGCTCATTTTGTGTTTCATGTCTATAAGTATACAGTAAGTTTTCTTCCCTTTAAGAAAGTGATTGAGTTTACGCATAGAAAAAATGATTTGTTTATATATGTGCAAGATAATTGTCCCTCGGATTGGGAATTATTCTCTTATTTATTTAAACACAGATATGACAAAGATAAGTAAATCTATCTAAAAGCTAGAAATATGTCCATAGGACACTAATGCCCCTCCCAGTATTCATTAGTAATGCAACATGAAAATTTATATAAGTGTATTAAGTTTGGTGAAAATATCTTGAATTGTTTCTTTAAAATTGAGTTTTATACACAATAAATAGTAAAGTCAAAGGTCATTCTGAAGGTAAAGGTAAAAAATGTACACAGTTGTTAAAATCTCACCCAATAATGTATCGGTGCATAAGCTTACATGAAAAATATCTTGAAAAAAATTCTTTTTGAAACTGAGCTAAACACAAAT